ATTAAAAAAATTGTTATTTCTATTGTTAATTAATACACATTTAATTCATATAAGAATATGAAAATAGTAAAAAAATTAAAAATGGTAGGTTGGGAAGATAATTTCTCACTTATATTCATGGGGATTGATGCATAAAGCAAATGCATCAGAGTTAATTGAAATTATGTCAGGATTGATTCTATTTATTTAGCATAAGGTCTAAATGCGATTTATAATTTTGAAAGTAAATTCTTTGGTTATGTTTGTTTATTTCCTATTTATTTCCTGATTAATATATGAATCTTCACTTGGATTGATTTTTCTATTGCCTTCTCCTTTGGACTATTAGGATTATTTTTTGGTTTTGTAATTAATACTGGATAATGTTGCTATATGACCTATCTAATAGTAGGATTTTATTGTTCTGTTGGGCATTTAACTTGGGGATGAAACCATTTTGGTTATGTTATACAATTGTCTTATGAATTTTGTCTGAGCTTAAAAGGGTTCAACACTTTTCTATTAACTCTTCGTATGAGAAGATTTTGAAAGATAAAGGATTTGAGAAAAAACATGTTATGTTTTAACACATGGATTTCTACCTCTATTTTTTTTTTTTTTTTTAATTAGCAAATCAATCAGGAACTACAATAGGAATGCACTGCCTTAATACTTTGCAATATGTATCAACTAAACAATAAAGAATAAGCAAAGAAGTAATAGAGACTAGGGATCGTATAGGAGGCCTTATTGAATATTTTTGCTCTTTAGAACATTGGGTTCTTTGTGACATTTGCTTTTAGGATTTACTTAAGAATGACAAGTTAGTTTCAGAAAATAGAAATTCTATAGACAATGGACAATTGTAGTGGATCAAAGGACCTGGAAGAAAGAAAGGTGTGTCTGAAATTGGAACAGAATATTGTTCAATCCTTTATTTCACAAAATTTCATAAAAGTTATTAGATTTACTTGATTAGCAGGAAAATTGAAGCCATATGAGGCCATCATAGTCACAACAACCAATTGTGAAGTTCATTCTTAAAGAGAATATAGGGCTCCTCTTCAACAAAGGAGGAAAACAAGGTTGTCCATGTGCTGGCAAGGTTGAGAAAGTAGGGGAATTCT